GAAAAGGGGAAATGAAACTACTAAAATTCTTTTCAGAATCACCTTGACAATCTTTCATAGAAAGGAATGGAAATAAATCAGTCAAGTGTTACAATATTCATTCTTTTGGGATTTAATCTTCCCCAAATGGAAATACTACTCTTTACACTGTTTTTTATTATATACAGTTTGTCTATTGTGGGAAACCTACTTATTGTTCTACTTGTTGTAGCTAACCAACATCTTAATACGCCCATGTACTTCTTTCTTGTGAATTTGTCTTGTTTAGAGACATGTTACATTTCAACCATCTTGCCCAGAATGCTGGCTAGTTATGTAACTGGGGATAGATCTATATCTATCTACGGGTGTATGACACAATACTACTTCTTTGGTTTTTTAGTATCCACTGAATGTTATCTTCTGGCAATGATGTCTTATGATCGATATTTAGCAATCTGCAAACCTCTGCATTATGTATTTGTCATGAATGGTAAACTCTGTCTCCAGTTAGCTGTCACATCTTGGATGAGTGGTTTGCTGACCAGCACTATCATAATAGCTTTTCTTGTACAGTTAACTTTTTGTGGACCAAGTGAAATTGACCATTTCTTTTGCAATGTGAATCCAGTGGCAAATATTTCCTGCAGCAATACACACTTTGTAAAGCTTGTTACATTTGTTACAGGATCCATGGGTATATGGACCACATTTATCCTAACAATGACCTCCTACATCTGTATAATTTATACTGTGTTCCAAATGAAATCTAAAAAAGCACAACAGAAGGCCTTCTCTACCTGTTCATCTCATCTCACTGTAGTTTCATTTTTCTTCCTTTCACTATTGCTTGTGTATGTTGTCCCTGAAACAGAAAGACTGAAGGAGCTACATAAGATCTTTTCCCTGTTCTACACTGTCCTGCCTCCAATGGTCAACCCCATTATCTACAGTTTAAGAAACAGGGAAGTGAAGGAAGCCTTCTTTAAAACTTTTACAAAATATATCAGTAGTTTTTTTATAACATAATAACTTTTCAATTACTGTGGTAAAGTAGAATTAAAGATGGGGTATATATAACAGCTTTGGTGCTACAGAGATTAATGCCGTTAAACTACCCTTATTTCATACATGTTTTACTGTAGATATTATTTTAATATTTAATATATCTGACATCACTTGTTTTCAAAACAGTTCCCAGACCTTTATAGTCCTAATATAACTGTGATAATTAGTTTCAAAAATGTCCATTCTAGCCATCCTTACAAAAGGGCCCTCATAAGGGCCCCTCATTATGAGAGTGTTAAAAATATTTGGCCACATGTTATTGTAGTAACAGTTTCAGTGGTGGGATTCAAAAAATTTTTACTGCTGATTCTGTGGGCGTGGCTTGGTGGGCGTGGCAGTGGAAGGATACTGTAAAATCTGCAGTTAGAGGTAGTATTTGCTGGTTCTCCAAACTACTCAAAATTTCAGCTAGCAGTTCTCCAGAACTGGTCAGACCCTGCTGAATACCACCTCTGAACAGTTTATATTTTTATTACTACTATTGTGATATTGCTTTGTTGTTTTCTGTATTATTTTATGTTGTATGTTCCTTTTATAATGTTTAAATTTGGTTTTTAGTTATTAGTGCCTGAAGGTATCTAAAGTTCTTGTCCTCGCTAATATTCAAACAGCAAGAAATCCCACTATAATTGCATCCATTTTATTAATACATAGAACTTTCACTAAACTTTGCAAAATATGTTATTTTTAAATGCAATTTTATTTGTTTAGATGTGCCCAAGTATCATTTTAAAGTATGATAGAGCAACTACCACAAATATGTGCAGTTTTCTGGATTTGATTTTTCAAGAAATACATATCATATGTAAAAAAAAAAAAAAGGTAGCTCCAAAGGTTTATTGCTGCTCAATTTGCCATGAATGTTGATTTCCACTAAATTTCATACCTTCCCTTTCCTGGAATACACACATTCCAAGAAAGCACTGAACATTATTGGAATATTGTTTGTTACTGTCAACATCACAAAACATTAATATATGATTTTTTTTCTATTATGATATGGTTAGTATGTTAAGAAATGCAACATTTTCTGTTCTTTCTATTGTCTAGATATGTAAACCAACAGTTCTCTGAATGTATGTCAACACTTGTCTTAATCATCAGAGAAAGAGAGAGAGAGAAAGGGAAATGAGACAACTAAAGTACTTCAAATGGCTCTTCAGAATTACCTTGATAGTCATTAACAGGAAAGAATGGAAATAAATCAGTTAAGAGTTACAAGATTCATTCTTTTGGGATTCAATCTTCCCCAAATGGGAATACTGCTCTTTACACTGTTTTTTATTATATACAATTTGTCTATTGTGGGAAACCTACTTATTGTTCTACTTGTTGTAGATAATCAACATCTTCATACCCCCATGTACTTCTTCCTTGTGAATTTGT